AAAAATAGAATAAAAACCAAACACTCTTGTCACTCTTGGCGTATGAACATTTAAAATGGTCTTACAGTTTTAGTTTTATTGCTTGAGTTATATTCGGACAACAATTTCATATAGTTTCAGAACAATACCTACCACTAGAAGTTGGAAAGTAAAGCTGCATCTAGAAAATAAAAATAAAATCTCTGTATTGGCTACATATTTGAACAAGAACATCCAAAATGTTCTTGTTCTGCCTTTGTCTATCATATCAACTTTCATACATGGTAAAAATAACAGAAATACTTTCTATAAATTTATACAGAGTTCTAATAAATAAGTATGATGGATAGATTAATGCGGGAGAGAACAGCAAAGAAAGCACATGCTATTGCAAATGTTTTGCAAATGATACGTGAGGGTGTCTTAGGAGTAATAGGTATATAGTGAATGAACAAAGAGCATATTACATTAACATTATTGTTTAAAATATTTATTGTTATCTAATGTTCCCTGTTTGTCACCTTTCTTTCTTTTATACCCAGATATTTAAGTATGGATTTATGAATCAACACTATCATTTTAGGTTCATGGTTCATTTTTTTCCCCTGACTCTGTTTTCACACCAATAGTAAATAGTTGCAGAAGGGGTCATCACTCCCTCTATTGCCCCCAGCCCCCACCCCCAAGTTTTTGTTTTATAGTTCAGGAGGGATACCCATCCATTAAAGATGTCAAATTATGCATAAATAAGGAGAGCTTTCTTTCTCTCTTGCCCCACGAAGGAAAAAAATGAAGTACTTCTTCATGATGCACACATTTCAGTTATAGAATTTGCAGCCCAAAGCTGCAATGATTGCCAGCAAGTTTAGATGGGTTTATTCAAAGGCTATAAACAACAAAGTTGACTGGAACCAGCATTGCAAGCTGCTAGAAGAGGACTGCATGAAGGGCCACATCAGGAATGCATTTGCGCAAGTCAAAAGGATTTGAACACCATTTACTGCTCATAAAAACATCATCAGAAACAAGCAAGGGAAAGAACTGTCTGACCAACAGGGTGTCAAGAACAGATGGTGAGAATATACAGATATGCCAGCAGCAGAGAGGCCCAGTATCCTCAGGATGATGAGGGAAGGGAAGCAGAAATAGAACCAGCCATCCTTCAGGAAGAAGTCATGTGGGCAGTGAGCCAACTGCCAAAAAAGAAGGCCCCAGGTGTTGATACCATCTCTGCAGAATTGCTGTGGCCTGTGCCATCCACAACCACCACAGCCTTGTGCCAGAAAGTTTGGGAAACAAACACATGGCCACAGGATTGAAAATGATCATTGTTCATTCCATTGCTAAAAAAGGGGCAACTGCAAGGACTGCTCCAGTTACTGCACAATTACCCTTATCCCTCACCTAGCAAGATTTTCCTTAAGATCATATAACACTTTCTGGCACCAACCATCGAAAGGGAATTATCAGAAGTTCAAGCCGGCTTCAGAAGGGATCGTGGCACTTGTGACCATATTGCAAATCTAAGTTGGTGCAGTCATTGCACACAAATCAGGAAGCCACTGTGCGAACATCATATGGAGACACTGATTGGTTCAAGATAGATAAAGGAATGCAGCAAGGTTGCACCTTCCTTATTCAACCTGTTACGCCAAAGTGATCGTGAGGAAGTTGGAACTCGAAGAATCAACAGCTGGAGTAAAGATTGGAGGAAGGAACATCAACCATCTTCAATATGCTGAAGGGCCACATCAGGAATGCATTTGCGCAAGTCAAAAGGATTTGGACACCATTTACTGCTCATAAAAACATCAGAAACAAGCAAGGGAAAGAACTGTCTGACCAACAGGGTGTCAAGAACAGATGGGTTTCTCCTCTCAGAAACCAAAGAAGGCCTGAAACATCTGATCAGAAGAATTAAAGAAGAAAGTGAAAAATTTCACCTCTTCTTGAACATCAAAAAGATCAAGCTCGTAACCACTGCAAGGAATGGAAATGTCAAAATAGCAATTGATGGTGAAAAGATTGAATGCATCCAAGAATTTACTTTCCTAGGATTACAGCTTGATCAAGCAGTGAATGCAGTCCAGAAATAAAGTGTTGAATCGCACTCGGTTGCACAGCAATGATGAGCATGAATCAAATATGGAAAAGCAAGGACACCAGCCTGGCAACTAAATGCAGATTAATCTGCACTATCATATTTCCCATACCTACCTACAGTTGTGAAACTTGGCCCATGAAAAAAACTAGACAGGAGGAAAATCACTCATTCAAGCTGTGGTGTTGGAGAAGGCTCCTGCACATTCCTTGGACAGCAAAGGTGACA